TGTGAGTGTAGGAAATGTATCTTAAGAGACATATTACAGCCCATCTTTTGATACGATGACAGCATATTTTTGACAAGGGTTTTATAGTTGTCCGCTTTTCTATTTCCCAAGAAATTAGTGACCACCAGACGGAAATCATTCCAAGCAGTTTTTTCAATACCTGTTAAAGTGTTTTCAAACTGTGTATCTTTCAAAATATTTCGAATCTGTGGCCCAACAAAAATACCTTCTTTAACCTTTGCCTCACTTAGTCTTGGAAATTTCTGACGCAGGTATTGAAAAGCTGACTTATCTCTATCTAATGCCTTGACAAAGGCCCAAGTTGATATGCAGTGGTGGTAATAAAATTTTTTTCGAATCTACTAATGGCATATGCTGGACATTTTTTTGACCTGGCTCTAGGAATTGACGAACAGGCCAGTTTTGTCTGGTGTAATGAAGTGCCTTTGCCCGACTGTCCCGTTCACACAAAAAACAGCAAAACTTTGTGTAGCCTAGCTGCAGGCCAAGTAAAAGTGCAACAACTTCCAAATCGCCACAAATATGCCATTGGTGCTCATCGTATGTTATGCATGTCAATAGGTACTTCATATTGTCATATGATTCTTTATGTGAACTGCATACCCTACAGGAAGAGATGGTAAAATATTTCCAATATGCAATAACACTGCCTTTAAACTGAATGTTGAACTGTCTATAAACAATCTCCATTCTTCTGGGTTATAGTTTATATTTAAAGCCGCCAGTAAGCCGTTAATGTTACTGCAGAAAACCAAGTTATTCTCCATATTGAAAAATGGTTCTAAGTCTTTGTGGCGTTTACGAAAAACACATACCGAAACATCGTCTTCTAACAAGTTCCACTGCTGCAGTCTTGATCCCTAACTCTGCCTTACATTTTGGAAGTTCTAAATCTCTTACAAGGTCATTTAATTCTGACTGTGTTATTTTGTGCGGTTGGTGGCATGACGTGCTCGGTATAAAATCAGGATCTCTTGACGTTGATGGCATATCTTCTTCCTGACGAATCACTCGATCGCCATGATCTGATTCGTTCTCTGATTCGCAAGTGTAGGATTCTGGGGGTTTTGGAATAGGATTTTCGTCACTGTGAGGCACAGGTCTCATCGCAGATGGTATGTTTGGGTAGTTAATAACCGATTTTTTTTTCTTGGACATACCTGTGGCTTGTCCAACACAAGGTACCATGCAAAAGTAACAATCATTAATATGATTTGTAGGCTCTCTCCAAACCATTGGGACAGCAAAGCGCATAGACTGTTTTTTGCCATTTAACCAGCTCCTCAGACTTGAAGCACATGTATTACAGCAGATGTGGGGTGCCCACTGTTTGTCTTGATCACCTAGTTTACAACCGAAATAAAGCTGATATGCCTTTGTTATTAATGGAGTAATAGACCGTCTCTGAGACGCAAAAGTCACATCACCACACACGTAACAAAACTGATCTGGATTGTTTACACACTTTCGAGACATCTTGCATTAACGCTGTCAGCCAACTGAGGAAAAAATGGCTAATATAAAACAATATAATGTACACGTATGTATAACGTAACACAATCATGCCGATTACATCATCTTTCCTTGCCGAATATAAAAATGTAGCACGTGAATTCTTGTGAATTACAGTATATTAACACTGTCACAGCAGGAACACATATAATTACCGTATCTCTAAAACTTGAACTAATATTGAAAAAATAAGTTTCATTCCGGTTTTAGCACATTAAAAATAGTAATATTTTGTTGATTTTATTTAGGATATTTTTGGCTGTTGATCAGTGTTATTATTATTACCAAGCTGAGAAAGGTAGGTTTTACAATATGAACAATTTGTCTCGATGTTTTCCAGCAATCTGAGTCTGAAGAACCTAAGAAACAGTTATTTCTAATGCTTAAGAAGTCAAATATTATTTTTGAATGTCTATATTAAAGTTGCCTAAAACTTTATTCTGTACGCCAGAGCGTCTTGTTGACAACTCTTTAAATAACGATACTATAAAATAATCTAAACGTGTAGGGTCTTGAAATGGAAGGTACTTTAAGTTAATCCGGTGTTGGATCTTTCCAAATCTAATTGAGCGATTGTACTTATTTATATGTTTATCCTTCTATCATCTTTTTGGTATGTCCAATACCTTTGTAAAAGCCTACTGGATTAAATATATAAGTAAAACCAGATGGTTGAATGATTTTTTCTATAGCCAAAACTGTTAAAACCTACTTTGCTACTGCATCTGCTTCAAGTTTCCAGTTAATTGTGACATAGGTAGAAAAAGTGAAAATCCGTATTTTCCACGTGTTCTTACAGAAAATAGTATACAACCTCGCCCTTGACTAAAATAACAGCTAAAGTATCATCGCGTAAATTATCTCTAAAGAAAGTACTTGCCTGCATAGGATAATAGAGATTTGCACGTAGATTCTGTCTTGGATAGCACTCTGCTTTAATAAAATGCAAACAATGCATGCTGCTTTACCTGCAACTTGAATGCAAATAGAAAATCTGCTGTCAAATGCTAAATAGAAAGTCTTAAGCTGGCGAGATATGCATGAGGATAAAACGCCGCATATTGCATCTTTCCTGTAAATTTAAATTTTTCAATATGCAGATCCATTCGAGACCACTTGATATGACTATATCTCTACAGAGTTTAGGCAGCTTTTTCGTTTCGTTTAATCGAAATCCGCACAGTGTCCCAACACTTGGAAGAATGCAAATGAAAATTTTAGAATTAACTCCATGATGCCCCAAATGGATCCGTGGGAACCCCAGGTTATACATCTTGATAGCTTGTCGTTCTTGTCAACTGGGCTTGCTAAAATCTTATGAAAAATAGAAGCTTCAAATAAATATCGACGAATATGAATGGATGTGCATAGAATCTAGAATATAAGTTCATATTGCAAGTTTCAGATTCTCTATGGATGGACTTGAACCGGATTTTTCGGTATTTTTACCGAAATTAAAATATTCACCGAAACCGTTCTCCACGATTTTTAAAAAATAATTCAAATATTTCCATACTTGCCTAAAAAGAGTTGGATACAAATATAAAGCTTGACGTTAATTTTATGTAGTCTCCGTAGTTCAATGCCCCGTATCAATCAAACATATATCAATATCTCTAAAATGTTGTTCGAAAATGATGAGGAATCAGAGTTTAGGCAACTTTTTCCTTTTTTGGCCCTTTTCTCTCCTGCCACTGGACCGATTTTCAAAGCTTTTGCATCCTGAGAAAGTATAAAGACTTAAACAAAATCCGCCCCGTGTCGTAGGAAGTAAATCGACAGAATTCGCGGGTAGGAACAATTTGAATTTCAAGCTGACAATTCTTCTCAAATTCTCCGCGAAGCTTGCTTTTACCTGTTTATAACAATATAAATGACGACTTCCAATCTAACTAGCACCATCTAGTTTTAGCTGGCCAGGTGTCCAGATTATCCACTATTGCGGTTGGAATTCTGACTCCACTTCAAACCTCCAACAAAACCAGGAAAACTGCAAATAACTGATGTAATCATAGCGTGACCCACCAGAAATACATTTTCAACAGCGGAGGATTTGCATGTATGCATGCTCCACAAGAACAACTACAATATCGCGCATATGTCATTGATGTCACGTAAAAAACGCAATAAATCTAAGCAGACATATTTTGAGAAAATAAATGGAAGGTATATTTTAGTATGATATGACAGGGAGTTCTCATAAATAACGAGAACATTTCTCACTCTCGGTCGCAATTCCAAGTATCCCTGGACTTTTGTTATTGTCTTGGTGAAACGGCGAAGCAACGCTGTCGAAGTATTTATGCGACATGCTGGAGTGTTTGGAATATCTTCATAGAGATCAACGACACCTAGTTATTCATAGTAACAATGTGGAGCTGAATCTGTTTGCTCTAGGTTACCATGACCAATTGATTACAGTGTTGTTTCATGCTTTTCGGCAATCATCAGAACAGTTCGACAAAGCTTCATATAGTCAAAATCACGAAAGATGACTATTACGTTATACCATAAATTGTACTGAAGCAATCAATGGACCTACGTCGATGATAAAGTCACGAGTCCGAAACATAATGACAACAAATTTATATTTTCATTATTTTTATTTTCATTTTATTTGATGGTTTAGAGTGATACCTTAATAATAATTTTAGTGGGGAGTTTTTGTTTTGAAAAAAAACAGTTATGAGTAGAATACCTTAAGACAGGAACACGATAGGCCAAATTATTATTCGCAAACAACATAACCTGCTTTAACATAACCTAACTATTCATCTTTCAAATATGATCGATCATGCAACATGAAAACATCGTCTATCTTTGTCGGATACATCCAAGTTAGCAATTCTGCAAATTCTGTTTGTCTCTGTCTAACATATCTGAAACTGCATTAAAAATATTCACAAATCGCTACCATTTTTCTTTACTACAGACTAAAATGATGACGTACGTGCATTGTTCCCATTTTTGATTATAAAACAGTGCAACTTTTACCAAGGATAAGTCGGACGAGTTTGAACTCACCCGAGGTCTGCTTGAAGAAAGCCTTGGGTTTCAGGGAGGTTTCCGCGTTGTCTTCCATCGGAATAACTTTGGGAAATGCTCGGCAAGTATCCCTAGGTCAGGGTAGTAAATTGGCAAAAAATGCTACAGAAGTGACAGGCCTGATCATTTTCAGGAACATTTCTGTATGGGCTGAAATTCAGGAGTTGTGGGGGTGGGGAGGATATATGAAAAATGTTTATCTCAGTATATTTATACGCTCCCAGCCCTAGCAATTTTTTTCTAATTGTTCTCCAGCACATAAAGGACATGATACTCTAGAATGTTTGCAATTTTTTGCATGTGGCCAAAACCTGAACCTTTATAGCGGCGTATAATTCGTACATAATCCGGCCCAGGGATCTATGCCAACCCATGAATATATGACCTCTATTTAGCAATATTTTTCTAAATTTTGGGCTAACCTCAATGACAACATTTAAAGTAGATTCGGAACATGTGAAAGTGGCTACAGCTTTTATATCATCACTACTGAAAATACCATATTCATTCTGGGACAAGATCCTCTCGATGAATCCCTCAGACTTTGTGTAGGCGCGTTCTACATTATTTATCACCATGCGAGGGCGATACTTCTTGATGTCATTGACAGTGAAGTTCCTACCGAGTTCTTCCTGTATACTCGCCTTCAGCTTGGACAATGATGCTTCATTTTCGCAGCTAAGAATGACACCATTATTCACCCTCTTCACAGAGTGCACACAGATATTTGACTTCGCTGGATCAATGCTCTTCAACACATGAGAGTTTGATTTGTCTGTACTTTTTATCCTCAACTTTTGTGTATTATTAATTTTCTCTGCAATCTCTTCATCTCTGCTCTTTCCAGTCCTTTACAGCCCCACCATATGATTTACTTACAGCATTACAATGGGTGTATGAGGTAGTAACTTCTATATTTTCACCTCTTTCATTTATTTTCCCCAAAGAAGTGATTATGGTTTCTTTATTCACTATACTGCTAATGATCAATTCATAATAATAATAATAATAAGAATAATAATAATAATAAGTTTATTCACGTAACATACAAATATAGTTAACTAAAACTACTCGTAACATAGGTATACGTAAATAAACTGAATTTACCCACAGAGGGATAGATTCTTGTGCGTGGATATTAACTTACATTTTTACATAAATTTACACACATATATATATATATATATATATATTCATACAAATAAACACATAAATAGATGCACATATACATATACTAAGTGACATATAAATCCGAACACCCAGTTTAAATGGTTTTATTTTAATAAAATTTTGTATAAGTACTTAATGAAGCATAATAAGTAAATGATAAAAATTTCAAAATGATTGCACTGCTTTAAAGCCCTTTGACCTTTAATAATGTGTGGATGCACCCTGATGTGCTACGCATTCTCCAACGCGCCTAGGCATGCTTCTGATCAGGTGGTCAATGTCCTCCTGTGGTATCTCATTCCAGGCAACCATCAACTCCTCTCGAAGTGCTTCTACAGTATGAGGAGGACGTTGCAAATTGAGCAATCTCCTACCCATCATATCTCACACCTGCTCAATTGGGGATAAGTCGGGAGATCTTGGTGGCCATGGTAACAATGTGACATCATTATATTGAAAGAAGTCTATTGTGACTCTTGCAACATGTGGTCGGGCATTATCTTGTTGGAAAGTTGGATCTGCTAGGGTGTCAAGATAGGGTAAAAGATGGTGTTCGTGGATATAACGCTGTGCGTTCATGTTATCTCTGATAAAGATTAAAGGTGACCAGGAACCATAAGCTATAGCACCCCAAACCATAACTCCAACAGTGTGATGAACATGTCTTTCAACAAAAAACTGTGGATTCCTCCTTTCACCACGTCGCCTTCTAACCCTGGCACGACCATCGTGCATGCCTAAACAAAATCGAGACTCGTCACTAAAGACAATACTGTTCCACTCCTGATCCCAGAGTGACCGTTGTCTGCACCACTCAGGGCGATTACGTCGGTGTTCTCGAGTTAAAGGGTGGACCCAGTGTGGCCGGTATGAAAACAAGCCAAAACTTCTCATTCGTCGGTAAAGCCAATAGGTCTTCCGTGTTCTGCAAACCATTCATTTGCAATGGACCTGGTAGTGGAGAAACGGTCCCTTAAGGCCAATCACGGCCTGTTGTTCTACGGCGGCGTCCAGTGCCCCTTGCTCTTTGCGTACGGCCTTCTCCAAGCCATGCCTGACAGCACCTAACCACAGTGTCTACACTTCTTTGCACTCTAACTGCAATTGCCCGAAAAGAAAGTCCAGCTTCCCGAAGTCCCACTATACGGCCCCTAACAAACTCACTAAGTTGACGAAATCGTACAGGTCTTCGTACTCTAGGCATCGTAACCGATCGTAAAGGATGTCAAGAACCAAAATCCGCCAACGTTGATTCTTTACTGCGGCTGAAATATTCATTTTTAGAGCGTTAGTGAATTAAAAAAAAAGCAGTATAAATACCGGAATGTCCAACTGATAAGGCTGAAAATTTTTTCACTTGTTATTTACAGTAAGATAAATACATTCACCAACTTTTATTATAATAAAACCATTTAAACTTTGTGTTCGGATTTATATGTCACTTAGTATATATACACACGCATAAAATATATACATACACACATATACGAGTATATGAACGTTGGAAGGTTTTTTCTATTACATTAATTTTAAGTTTCTTTTATACGTATCATGTTTGCAATTTGATGTCGATTTTTTCAATTATACATTTTTTAGTTTCAATTTTAAATTTGCTTTATTTGAAATATTTTTCATATAATTTGGTAATATATTATATAATCTACTGGAAAGGTAAGTATGACATCTTTGGCATAGACTTTTTGAGGTGAAATGTGTTTGTTTAATGTTGTTGATTTTGTTTCTAGTTTGATATAAGTGACCTACCTGAATAAGATTATTTCTATGGTGAAATTCATAATTTATAATTTTATAAAAAAATTGTTGCCTAAGGTCTAATAGTTTTGCTCCAGAATACAACAGACCAGATGAGTCTGTCAAAGATTATTTTTTAAAATTGTTTTTGAATAATTGCTAATTTATTAATTTGGTTATTAAGTGCTCCATCCCAACCTAATATTGCGTAACTTAAACGACTTTCGATCACAGCATACAATTTTCATGATTACATGATCAATATGTATATTCCACTTTAAATGTGAGTCTAAATATACACCTAAATATTTTGTTTTGTTTGTTAAATTTATTTGAGTATTTATGCTATCACAGTTAATCTGTATAGATACAAAGGGTGGTAATTTATTTCTGTGATTTGTGAATGGCATGACCATAGTCTTTTGCAAGTTGATAGTTAGGCATTTATGTCTAAACCAGTCTGCAATTGTTGTCTCTTTCAACCTTCACTTTTAGATCATCCAACGAGTCGTTACTTGAATAAATGATAGCAGTATCGCCTGCAAAACATATGATTGTCCCTTCAGATTTTAAGCTCAGCAGGCTATTCATGTAAAGTGTAAATAATAAGGGGCCTAACACTGTCCCTTGTGGGACACCATACGTTATCAATTTGTTCGTGCTTAAGGAATTTTTGCAAAGTTGGATATTAGAGCTATAGGCCTGTAATTGTTAGTATCTGTTTTTTCACCGGATTTGTGGCTGGGTTTTAATACTCATATTTTATAATCATCTGGAAATTCTCCCGATTCAATTATCAAGTTCACTATGTACGTCAAGGGCTTACTAATTTCGGATGAAATTTTCTTTAACATTTCTGATCGTATGCTATCAAGACCTGGTCTTTTTTTATTTCTCAAACTGTGTATGGCATTTTTTATTTTATTTTCAGACGTTTAGTTCTCCTGAAAACGTTTGCTCTCATTAACCAATTGATTGATATACCTCTCTTTATTTAAAATTATTTCATTCTTTGTTTCTAAAAGCTTCTTCAGGTACCGTACTTCTTGCACTATAGTAATATTTTCATTATTCTTGAATAAATAATTTTCATCTTTATCTTCTTGTTGCTTTTCGTCATCCTTCTTTTTTCGACTAGTATATATACGCCAGGTTAAAAGTATATATCTTGACAAAAATGTGACTTTTGTGATACATTTTCGGGAGAGGTTAAAGAAATATGGCCGAAAATGCTTGGCTCGTCCTCTGAAGAGCTACTAACTTTTCTGTAAGTAATTACTGGTGTTATCTCTGGCATGGTAGTAGAGTAGGAAGTGCAGAGTCCATCTACTTGACGCCATTATTCCAAATGTAGTTATTTATTTGCCGATTCTAATATTACAAAATTGTTTGACTGGTTACGGTTATAAATTCTCCGAAAACCGATCGTTTGATCTTTCCAGCTGGTTTAAACGTTCGACTCATTCAGACTCGACCAAGTAATACATTTCAAATAGACTGAGTAACACTATCAATGTTGAGCTTAGTATACAAACCGCTGATTACACCATTTTAAAGGTGTGCCCCATTTTTTAAGGAATGAATATTAAAGTCGTAAACACGAAATTAATATTCAGTTCGGCATTCAATTAGACGCTAGTTCTGACCTAATGAAAGTGTAAGTAGCATTCGAATGTTAACTTGCTACCGTATCAAATATTTGCTTGGTGTAAATACGCACAAGTTACAGCAACATGTACATATGTGAATGTTAAGTAGTGAAATAACGAAATATGGGTCTACTTTAATTTGCTTAGTAAATAAGCTGTAGATCTGCCAGTCTAGTAGTCCATAAATAGTATAAAGTTTAATAAAGATGTACGTTACCGTTGATATGTAGGTAGTTTCAATATAGAGCGTTTTTTCTTGATAAGGGTAGGCCGTGGTGAAAGGAAATCACATCCAAAAAAGAACTTGATAACTCATATGCACATAGAAAAAAAAATTGATTACTAACTCGTGAACCTACTGTAAAGTATGAAGCACCTTTTCATACTGACAGCCGCAAGGCATATCCTGAAGCTGATGTACCGCAATTATTACGACGAGCTTAAAGAAATTTTGTTACTCGGGGTCTTGAACTAATGTCAGATAGATCACGAAGTATATTCGCATGTGCTCGGAAGAATAACATTATTTGATTTTCTACATGATTGTATCCAGAACGATCCTTCTTAACGAATCTGCATGCGTCAAAACTTGTCTGAACCAAAATTTTGAACAAGTTCCAATAAATATTGTTTCGGTTCGGACAACCTCACCAGGCCCGGACACCGGAAGGATTGACAGATTGAGAGCTCTTTCTTGATTCGGTGGGTGGTGGTGCATGGCCGTTCTTAGTTGGTGGAGCGATTTGTCTGGTTAATTCCGATAACGAACGAGACTCTAGCCTGCTAACTAGGCGTATTTCGACATCCCAAAGGCCCGCCGGTTCGGGTTTACGCCCTTGCCGTGCGCGGTTTTTACTGTCGGCGTACAAACAATTCTTCTTAGAGGGACAGGCGGCTTCTAGCCGCACGAGATTGAGCAATAACAGGTCTGTGATGCCCTTAGATGTTCTGGGCCGCACGCGCGCTACACTGAAGGAATCAGCGTGTCCTCCCTGGCCGAGTGGCCCGGGTAACCCGCTGAACCTCCTTCGTGCTAGGGATTGGGGCTTGCAATTATTCCCCATGAACGAGGAATTCCCAGTAAGCGCGAGTCATAAGCTCGCGTTGATTACGTCCCTGCCCTTTGTACACACCGCCCGTCGCTACTACCGATCTTTAGTTTTTTCAATCTTACTAAACAAAAAGGACTTCAATGAACTTTATAGTCTTCGATGTGTAAGCCATTTAATATTTGAAAAACAGCGAAGTATCCTATTCTTTATAACGAAAAATAGTCTG